AAAATTTGAAAGGTCAATGCAAACACGGTTAATTCATAAGAATGAATCATTAGGGAAAGGAAAATTCAAAATTCGAAAGTGAAATTCAAGTCATCCCGGTTTGGATAAATTTGGTACGACGATTGACGAGAGAAATTATATTATCACTATCCAAGAAAGGACAACGACCGATTTTAATGTTGGATTTATAAAGGGTAAATTCATAATGATAAGTTCCTATGAAAAAACTTTTTTAAAGTCTGGATTATTTAGGACGGTGAATGTATTCTCCAGATATCTGAAGGTACTGTAAACGATCTGTATCCAGTAAGTATTTTAATTCTAGAGTCTAGTTTGTATTTTGAACTGGAATTATAAAGTTATTGATTACGTTATTATATGTAAGAATATTCCAAATAGTTATGACGTCTTGAAAGCTTTTTGATTTTTTTTCTGTGACGCCGTCGTAGGAAGGCGTCAAAGAAAAAAAAATAAAATAGCCTTTCGAGACGTCATAATTATCTGGACGAATGTAGAAATATAGATTCCACCTCCGTTTGAGACAGTTAAATTTTGATATTTAAAGCGCGAGGCTTGCCGAGCTTTTTAAATAACTAAAATTTAACTGTTGAGAGTGGAGAAATATCGTAATACACGAGTTATAGTGGTGAAATCTGTTTCTCTAATGATTTAATCCTTCCTTTTCGAAGATTTGCAGAAAGTTGGGTTCTTTATATATGTGACGTCATCAGGCATGGTCGCCTTTTTTCATGACGCTACAATAGGAAATTCAGAAGAAACCAAGAAAATTTGACGTCATAATTAAATTTCGACCAATCATTTGCCGAGAACAGATATTTCACTAGTGAGGAGAACAAATTTTTTCACAATCGGTTGGGAAATGTGAAAATAGTGAAAACAATAGAGAAAGAATTTGAACATCTATACTACTAAAGTAATTTTTTGGCATTCGGATGTTGCATGTACACTGTTTCAATAAATTAAAAATTTATACAAAATGAAATTACATTGCTCTTTAAATATAAAATCGTATGCAATTAATATAACTTTGTTACAGTTCATTATTCAGATGTAAACACGCACTTTGTATAATTGATTGCCAATGACTCGTATTCTATGTATGGAATCTCTTTTATATCTAATGAAGCTAATGGAAGACTTTCGTTACTATAATTACACATATTGACTTCTGTACAATTAAACCCATGGGTGTTGTTTTAACGTTAATTTTCTACTACAAAAAACTGCAAACAATAAAATTCATTCATTAATGGGTTTATAGCTACACATGTAATTAATTTAAGTATTGATGACAAATACACAAACTATAATGGATAAGATTAATTGTCATTTTATTTTTAGGGACCATCAGTAATAATAACAATAGTTATATTAGGGACCATCAGTAATAATAACAATAGTTATATTAACAGAAAATATGATTGTCGTCGGTATACGAAAAATTGTTGTTCTTTTTTTTTTAGTTATGCGCAACACACATGCAAATTAGCATGATTGAAATATGTCATAGTAAAAGAAAGTTTGTTTACGGCTTAAAAACTATTAGGCTAACCCTGTTTGATACTATAAAAAAACAATATAGAAATATGGTCACCTTGATTTCTACAATCCGGCTGGAATAGCCATGCTTTAGAGAAGCAAGCGTTTATATATAAATATATATGTATAAATACGCAACCGTACGATCGGAATTATTGTTGAAAAAATCCGAGGTCTCATTTTAGGATAGTGCAACGCTCTTTGGACATAAAAACTCTTGTAACACAAATATTCAAGGAATCCGTAGATGGCTTGTTGCAAGGGGATAAATCTCCAGCCTTCTATCTCAGTCGACCAACTTTACCAAATATTGGGTAAATGTTCTAGTCCTAAATATGCTTGAAATATTTGAGATTGGCAGTTCAGCAAATACATGTTTTGTAACAACCAATCAACACATTTAAACAAAGGAATCACATGTCGACAAAGATGACACAACCCTAATGCCAAAAGAAGAAAAGACAAAAACTATACACAGCAACTAAGGATAGAGCAACAACCACTCAACCAAAAAAACTGGTTTTAATTAAGGGTTTCGTAAGGGTCAGATGACCGAATGAGCAAATCGAAATGAAACTCAGGACAAGGGATTTACTTGCCCGTTACCAACAGGAACAACACATATATAGACAAATTCATAAGGTCAGAAAATTACAACACAGAAACTAAATCACAAGAAATACGACCCCTTTTAACAAGCTAGGGATGATTGTAGGTGCTCCGGAATTAAAGGTAAGCGTTTCTTCTTACATTTACCTGAGAATTCACTACGAATTCTGAAAATATGAAGATATGCCGTGAATGGTGAATATTCGAATGTGCATTTAACCTGATTTCAACGAAACACGAAGTGACCTCTGACTACTCTGTCATCGGAAAACCACTTTAACGCAACAATATTGAACTAGCAGGTTCTAATTAAAAGTTCAAACTATGTAGTATTTTGTATCCAGTAATTGTTGTTTGTCTTTGGTCTTTTTCTTTTTTTAGCCATGGCGTTGTCAGTGTATTATTTCGACTTGTGAGTTTGAATGTCCCATTGGTATATTTCGCCTCTCTCTTATAAAACATACAATTAAAATTGTTCATTATCTATGTTGAGAAATGCTTGTTCAAAACCGCTAATTCCGATTATTACTGAATTCTTACAAAATTGTATATGTAAATTATATGTTAATACACTTTTGATTTTCTTGAACAGTGATATATTAAAGCAAAACAGGTTTGTAGGTAAATACTAGGTAATTTTCTATCCGTCTGTCATCACGTTCCAGAAAAGAAAAATAACACTTTTGGCAAGAAATGGCCTTGAATTTCAACTTGATCATAATTTATATGAAATGTCATTATTTGGTTTTTGAAAAGATCTATTGCAAAAGCCTTGTAAATGAAAGGTTAAACAAATCTGTTCAAAACAGTATGTTATACAGGCTTCAAAGTCAGCATATTTTGGCAATGTTGTCAAAATACGATGATTTGTGCATTTTTGTTTAGATCTAAAAGCTTTTTAAAAACTTTGACCGCAAGCTACGATCCATAATGTTCTGTAACCATAATTTGCCAAGGTTTATATTGAATCCCTAGACAAAAGCATTTTCTGAAGTCAGAAATTGCGGTAAAGGTAAATTATGAAAAAAAAACTATTACAAGTTTTCGAAAAATTGGACTAAAACAGCATTGAAACACAAATAATGCAGAATTAATTTGTAATTCATAAAGTGATGTGCCAACAAGAAGTTATTATATCAATGTTAGAATTATGGCCTGATAAAAAGAAATTAATAAATCTTAGGGCCAATGTTTACGCTTTGTGAACTGGACTACTTTGGTGCGTCTTGAAGCGCTTTTCTTTGATTTATATTCCTCAGTGGAACAACAAAAGGTAAAGAAAAAAACTCACATTGAAATATTATTTTCGCAAAAAGTAAGCCATTTGAAAGGGTGCAAAAAATACGAGAGAGCAAAACAAAAAGATTAACACTTTAAAATTTGGTGCGTCTGAAGTGCTTTTCCGGATTGACCTTCATCATGAACGCTCCAACCAACTTATTTGAAACAAACGATGCACGGTGAGTACATGAGAAGTTATATGACCAAAAGGGATTTAAAACAATAGTTAAGTTTTTCTGAGGGAGTTAGAACTTTAGCATTTAAACAATTTCTAAATTTATCAAAGTAGAATTTAAGAAAGGTTTGTTGTAAATCAATTCGGAGCTGAAATCAGCATTTAAAAATATGTTCAAACTGCATGATAATTCCTGATTCCTGTGTTTGTTGGTGTTTTTTTAAATGGCAACATTTTTGGGAAGCGTTGGTGTTTGGGCAGGGGGAGATAGGGATGGTAGTTAAGTATAATAAATGGGAAACAAATGTAATTTTTTACTTTTGTGTCATCCTTTATTGCGTAGAGTTTTACCATAAACCAAGTCAGATGCAGACCTTGCATAACTTAACCTTCCAATACACCGGAGATTATTTAACCTTCCAATACACCGGAGATTATTTAACATTTAAATTGTTTATGAACATTAACTGGTCTATAATTGTTTCTTGGGAAAACATGCTTTCCATTGTGATAATCATATAATTTTTAATTGAGCCTTGGTAACACCAAACTTATTTTATCTGCTCTTAATGCTAATTTAACTACAGTAATTTTTATTTTGACTAGTATGAGGGTCTTAAGAGTACGGAAAGAAATAGAAAACTAATTATACTGAGGTACAATTATAACGCAACTCTTACGCCAAAGACCTACTAAACTAATGATTTTAGTCTGTATGTAACTTCATGTTATAATTTCTTGGAAATCTTTAATAATTTGGAAAACGATTGACAACTTTTTTAAAGTGACTATTTTGACGATAGTACAAAAAGACAAGAAATCTACGGCATATAGTCTTGAAAACTTACTTTACAGATTGGATATTTTATTATATATTTTATTTAGCTGACAATTCAACTTTCTGTACTTAATAAAAATTATGACATAGGAAATGATGACGATATCAAATCATTGTGCATATATTTATATTGTCATATTTGGTCAGATTATTATCAAGATAATGCCTGCCTTTATAGTTAACTGTTCGTCGCGATATAGCATTTTTGGGACTGATGCAGCGTTAAGTAAACATCAATCAATCAATAAAGTTGATCATTTGTTATATTAAAAAATAAGATGAAAAATACTCGTTATTTGTTTTGTAAAAGGAGCGACTAGTTCTGTACAAATATGGAAATGTTGAGATATCAACTAAAGAGTTGTTACACTATTGAAGTCTTCCGTAGTATATTCTATCACTCGTCTGTATGCTACAATCCGCCAGTCTATACAACGACGTTATTAGTTTTAAAAGTAAACCATTAAATGTTGCATGCCAATTAGGCTGTTATTCTTTACAGTTTCTGTTAGGGAAGGATTTATATAAAACTGAAACTTAAGGAGGATTATTTATTTAATAATTTGATTTGATTGTGTAAGATTTTATAATACTAAACGGAAACAAATACTTCTTATAAATGTTAAGTACAATGTACAACCACATTTAGTGGTTTCGCCTACACCTGTAAACTTACGCAGTCTATAAAAAGACAGTGATTTCATGAATGAGTGATACTACACTTTTAAGTGTTATTTTTCCTTTCGTTACATCCTGCACGTCAAATGCCTGAATATGATCTTACACTTTTGACGAAATTTCTGGTCCAGAAAACCGTAAATAATAGGATTGACTATGTTGTTTATGATAAACGTTCTCCCAAGAATTGGAAATATTGCTTTAGTTGTAGCGTTCGAGGTAAAATGTCCACTTGCAATGGAAGCGTTTAGTTTTACAGCAACGTACGGTACATAACTCAAAATAAAACAAAAGCTAATTGCAAATGCTATTTTTGTCACTTTCTTAGAAGAGTTTTCTTGTCTCATTGCACAATGTCGCCTATCAGGAGATTTGGTGTTACATTTCATGGTACTTTCTCTACTTGACTTTAGTTCGGAAAGTTGTTTACTCCGAGACTCATCTTCGTCTATATCTATACTATCACATGTCTCTTCTAGGCTAAGCTTAATTTCATTTCTGTCTAGTTTGTTTGTAGATGCTGTTGAATGATTGTCGGTTCCATTTTGTCTGATGAAAGTACTTCTAAAGTGCACGTGACTCAACACTTGTCGTCCGATAATTGAATACATAACAATTAAAGCGAATATACATCCAATATAAATTGCTAGAAGAGTAGAACTATATACAGTAGTATACGCTTTATCCTTGTACCTATCCGAAAAACTGCAATCGTATCCTGTTAAATTATTTTCTAAATCCTCTATACTTATACCGCTTATGACTGCTTCGGGCAACGCGAAAATAAATGCAACTAAAGTAATAAGAAAAATGCACCAAATTGCCTGACGTATTGTCATCTGTAACTTAAGCGGTTGAATTACACGTCGAGTGCGATCTGCTGACAACGCTATTAAAATGAAAGAAGACAAAAGAGCAAGTAAAACATTCATAGAACGGAATATTTTACAAGCCCACTCAGAATAAAATGTCAGTTGGTTAGTCATTTGGGCTATTTCAAATGGGACTGCGACTGTACATACCAAGAAATCCGTCACTGCTAAAGCTGTTATGAATAGTCGGTGTGTAGATCTTCTTTTAATTGTGAAAGTGTAAACTGCAATAACAAGCAAGTTTCCTGGAGTTCCAACCAATGTCAAAAACGATAGATATATTATAGGTGCAAGACGCTGTGCCGTTTCTTCATCATTTAAATCTTCTAAGGTAACTGACAAAACACTTTCTGATAAATTGCCGTGCATTTGTTACTTTTTTTTATTATCCTAATTCACCATTTAATAAGCATGAATGATAATAAAACACTTCGTTCCGTTATGGAGGTCGTTTCATATTTTCCATGAATAATTAATTTGAAATGTCTGTAGAGTTATTTACTTATTTATCGTATGCACTTCCACAACACAATGATATTCGTTTCACAACTTTCAGTATCTACCATGTGGAATATTCCACTATAATTAAATTTACACTTGCGTAAAAAGTCAAACCAGATTGTATAATGTAATTTTCAACGCTGATTATCACATCTGCACTATTCAGTATTACGCTGTTTCTGAAATTGTTAAAGAAAACTCGTCATATTTCTAAATATAATTTGAGTGAACCTGTTTGACAATAGCTACTGACCAAACTGACATCAGTCAATACAGGACAACAAAAGTAATTTCCTCTACGAAAATATATTCCTTAATACTCAATCTAAATGTATTGAAGCGATTGGTGTACTTCCTGAATATTTATAACGTTAATGTTCTCCATCGGTATAAAACTTTTACACAAGTATCTAGGTGACTAAACACATCGGATGTATGTTATTGTGTTAACAAAAATACAACACTAATGTCATAAATATTTTGATCTTTTTCCCACAACTTGAAATGTGTAGTGTCTTCAGTTAAATAAAACGTATGCAATAAATCTAACCAATGCATACATACTGAGATGATCTGAACGATCCAGGTTATTGATATCCGCGTTTAAACTGCCCCCTTTGTTAGTTCTTATCGGTTCTTTTGTTAATATCATAACAGGATAATCCTTCAATTCAGGTAACTCTACCTTTTAGTTCTTCGATTTTTTGGTACTCTTTTCTACTTTAGTTACAACTGACAACAATACATTGGTGGTCCATGTTACATAATATGTTATCTGTTTTTGTCCCAAATATATGTGTAAAAATTTACTTTCCCAACACAGTCAGATACATTTTAACCACGCGTAAGAAAAATGTACTAAAACTGCTATTTTGACAGGAAATAGAAATAGGGAAATATAAAACTAACCACCTGTGACCGTGAGGTCATCGTTACCTTTGATTACCTGGTGCAATTGAATGTCAGCGTTTTCTCTTCTTTTTTAAACAAAACTATTTATCTAACCACATAGCATGATAACATTTCGATCGTTATGTTACCTAATCCTTGACGGTTGCGGTATATAGTTTAATCGCTTGTCGTATCTTTTTGTCGTTTAAAAAAAAAAATTAAATGCATTATATTCAAATGTAATCATTACATAGCACTCCCATAACCCCCACAGTTCAAGCACACATTATTCATTTTGTAAATGTTTAGAATAAAAAGTCAACGTGTATATGCATATTCGCTTTGGTGTAAAGTCTGATAGGTAAAGCCCTATTGTTACTATAAATATTAAAATAAGGAGATGTAATATAACTGTCAATGAGGACAACTATCCATTCAATCCTACAACTAAGCCCAAGAAATCACATTAAAATGATGTTGGGTTGAAAAACAGTTTATCAGATACACCACTTAGAAAACACACAGTTTTCAAATAAATTTGTCACTTCAATCATAAGTTTGTTTGTTGGTGAATACCACATGTTTGGTTTTCTTGATAATAGGTGGCAATTGTTGCACGAAGGAATTAATAGTAGATACACAACACTTATCAATATTTATAAATGATAAATATTTAGTTAATTACAAACATAAACATGTACTACAAATTAGAAATTATAGGAAGACAAATTAAAGTTAAATAATTTTTTTCAAGGTGTAGGGAAATATAACATCAAAAACTTTCCTTCATCCTTTATAATATTTAATTTGAATGATTTGTTATAAAAATCTTTAAAATAAACAAAATTTCAATTAATGTCATTGTTCCTGTCCTAGACATGTAGAGTGGTAAAACCAGAAACTGAACATATTGTATATTATCAGCTCTACTGAAAAAAAAACTCAGTTTTGTTTGTTTTAAACATCTGTTTGTTAAGTAATATTATCTGTCCCTTTATCAGCATGAGATGACATATTTACAACTCTAGATAACCATTTTATAATTGAGAGAAGATATGAAATTTTCACTCTGAAGGGCTTAGATGCAAGACTGCCATTAGAGTAATACTGACGTGGATGTTTGCAATTAGAGGAATTTTTCACTTATTCAATCATAATTATTATAATTATTGTTACATGATTAATGAAATAAAGTGAATTTTACTTGCAAGTAAGAATTATAGTAAACTCATTTTTACATGGTCATTATTGGTTTATACTTACATTTGCACGAGATGCAATATGTCGACTTATAAGAATAACTTTAAGAAATTTCTAAATGAACTGTTAAACAAAAAGTGAATTGGTAACTGAACCCTCTTTATATTCTATTATAATTTTTTTTTTTTTTTTTATTGAATTATTTCTAGTTATTTAGGTTAATCTGTTCTTTTTCCTATTTATACGATCTTACAATAACAGAAAAATCGTATGAATAGGAGAAAGAGCACAATCATTAAATGAAAATAAGTTGAGATTAGAAGAAATTTTGTTTCTGAAATAATAATTTAAACACCAAGAAAAAAGAAAAAAAGGTCCATGCCCAAAACGCCTGCGGTTTCACTTGCGGTCGAAGAAGTCGACAAGATGAAACGCCCTAAATTGATTTTATACCGAAGGCAAGATAACAGATACACCAATTCAAGATTCAGACAATACGTAAAGATAAAAGAATCCAATTAGTAACCTGTGTCGATTTGGGTTCGGAGAATGAGCTGTGTGCTCCTGCGAAGAAAGTTAGAGAATGTATTTAAAAATACTTTTATGATCTTAAAACTTGTATGGTCCGACCCGTTAAAACCAAACGAGTATAAATCAATACTCATATCGTCGGACTACATGGGTATACGCATATGGTCATGACCATACGCGAATGGTCCAAATACTCATATGATCCGGAACATTTATATACGACGGATGGCAACCAACTAAAATGTACAACTACAGAAATACAGGCTTTTGACTATTTGGGACAGACACATAAAAAATGTGGCGGGTCTAAACATGTTTGTGAGCGCTCAGAAGTTGGTTCAAGTTTTTGAAGAATATTTTTATAGTGTCATCGATCGAAGAAAACTTCGATAACAATTTCTGAAGAACGTTGATGGAATAGAATGTAATCATATACTTGTTAAAACTTGGATAAACTTCGATGAGCCATAAGCCAGTCTGAGTTTAGCTTATCAATCATGATGCAATATCGTTTGCAAAAAAAAGAAGCAGACGGTAAAAGAAGAGTAAAATAAATAAGATGGCTCCAACCTAACCTGTGACCTTGGTAATATATTGGCGACTTTGGAGGCCATAAATCACTTACCATTTCATATTCAACTAACTTTAAATCATATAAGTCATTTCAAATGACAAATTATATTTGGCTTGTAGTGATACTTACTAATAAAACGCATTTGACGATCGCTTGAAATCATTTTGTAAATTTACACAGCCGTTGACAACTTTCTCTCCAAATCCTCGCAAATCTCGTCAAATCTCAGAAGCCACGTCAAGGAATATGTTGACTACATAAGGAAAATCTACTAGTTTCTAATCACGTTATTACATGTACATGTGTATAATATATACTATAATTCCTAGCTACAAATAAGATTGAAAAGAAAACTATTATGAACAAATGACATGATAGAAGTATTTAGTAATAATTTGATTGAATTGTTTGAGGGCAAAAAAGGCATAAATATTTTTAAGATGAAAGTGATAACAATGTTGAATGTACTTACTTTTCGCCTTGTTTGATGACTTGTAGCTCCTGGTGTAAAACAGAAAGAAAGCTCTTGTAAATATAGAGGTTTATTCTTGAAATCAGCAATCAAAAGTTGTTACCATGCTGGCTTTTCACGTGTTGACTCCTTAACTTTCCTGTTTTCACCGATCATATGGTATCTTTTGTCGCTCCCTTGACCATAGCCGACTTTACTGGTTGGGTCAATTATCTCATCATTGTTTATACTGTGTTTTATGTGTAGATAAGATGTGACATAATAATAAAATAAAATGTATTTATTATTTATTTTATATACGCTCTTATATCACGGCCGTCACTCGGCTAACCGAGAGATTGGTCGGTTAATCTATATTGAGTATGCGGCTATATCGGCGGTTGATCTGTTAATTGGGTTGGCTAAAGTCTGTTTATCAGGTGTTATCGAGAAAATACTTGCAAGTTCAGTTTGTTTCATTGTATAACTTTTTAAATATATTTTTTATCATAAAAATTATTCATGTCTGACAAAACAATTCAATGTACTGAATCCAGTGGTGTAATTATTTTTTTTCTAGCTTCGATAAACAATCAATAAAATGAAAAGGCGGGTTACTCATCAATAAATTTATACACATTTTACACACACAAAATGTACACAAAATGACAACTTGGCATAATTTGCTTGCGTGCAATATTTTGAACATCGAAAAAAGACAGGCATTCTGTTTGTTAACCATATTAATATCATTGTGTGAAAAATCTATACGAAAATCTGTATTTTGGTGATATTAATCAATTTTTATTAAAAACCTGGTCTGTTAATGGGTCGGATGTATAAAACCCGGTCTGTTATTTGGTCTGTTAAGAGTTATGAATGGCAATGAAAATATAATTTGATTGCTTTATGAGGAGTTATCGGATCAAATGGGTAGGCTCAAGACGAGTGGCTAAAATATACGAAAACAACACATGAACAATGAAACATAAATTTAGACAATGGAAATTGGAAATTGATAAAAATGGTTTCAAAAAGTGTAATATTAAAGTAATATTAATTTCATTCAAGAATGTCGCATATATCATGTGAATTCTGTTTCGTTGTTATGAATGACACCAATTTGTCATCTACATTGGTAACCAGTATATACATCATTTTTATAGATCGTTCTTATGTTGTACTGTTATACCACTGTCCCAGGTTAGGGGAGGGTTTGGATCCCGCTAACATGTTTAACCCCGCCACATTATGTATGTATGTGCCTGTCCCAAGTCAGGAGCCTGTAAATCAGTGGTTGTCGTTTGTTTATGTGTTACATATTTGTTTTTCGTTCATTTTTTTTTATATATATAAATAAGTCCGTTAGTTTTCTCGTTTGAATTGTTTTACATTGTCATTTCGGGGCCTTTTATAGCTGACTATGCGGTATGGGCTTTGCTCATTGTTGAAGGCCGTACGGTGACCTATAGTTGTGTGTCATTTTGGTCTCTTGTGGAGAGTTGTCTCATTGGCAATCATACCACATCTCCTTTTTTATATCAGAGATAAACGTCGTAATGTAACTAAACATCAGTAAGTAAAATATATTGGGATGCTAAAATATAAAGAATAGAGAAAGAATAACGAGAAAAATAAATAAAATGTAGAGAAAAGTGACACAACAATTTAAAGAATACAGAAATTAACAACACCCCCAATCCGGACCCTCATGGTATACACGAGAATGTGGATGGAGACGCAGAATATAGAATAATTATAGATAAGGACAGTAGAGAGTGATGCATTGCTGAAAAAGAGAGAAAAATAACAATTGTTTAAGAATACAGACATGAAACACCCCTTTTTACTATTTAGACCCTCCAAGATGATTGTTAAAACAATTTTGGCATTTATTCCACATCTCCTTATTTTTAAATTAATAGTATAGACAACGATATCTATAAGATGCTTTGCAATTTTTTTTACTGTATATCACTTTATGTTATTTGAGACTGGAGTCCGATAAACATTGGCCTCCTGTCAACTGCTGAATCTGATAGCTCAGTAAATATTGTAAAGTGCAAACAAAACAAACTTTCAGGGGGAGGTGGTGGTTGAAACATTAACGGATTGCGATGTACTCAAATTGGTGACAAATTTTTGGCCGTGTATATACATTTCACACATTAGTGACACAAAAACGGCCCTTAATTAACATGTCAGGTAAATAATCAAATTTCGTAATTGTTCGCTTAAATGACATTTTGTTCTCTAGCTAAATACTTATTATAATCACAAATAATCCAATTACATAATACAGGGGCTGATCCAGAACCTCGATGTACTTGGGGGGGGGGGGGGGGGGGGCACCATAAAACCAAAATTAAAGATTTTTTTTATATATGCATATATGCTAGTGTGGGTGGTGGTGGTGTCATGTATTGGGGATGTTGGTGGTCGTTGGCGGGGTCTTCATTTTTATATCTTTTCATTACATTTGGGTCCATTTCTTTCTACTCTTTTATTTGCTGCCAATTGTCCTCTATTCTTTACAGTTCATCACAGCTTTAATCTGTTTTCTATATTTTTG